TTTATTCATGGTCAGATTCATTCCATCATTTTGCGGATTTGAGCGATTCATTAAAATGAACCGCTCAAGATGATTCGCTGAACAATTGTTTTGTCTGAGAATTTTCGAGAGAAGCCAGTGAAAACCGAATGATTTTCCATGTTGGACCTTACACGTGTCTTCAGAAGAAATACAACCCGAATTCCGGAAAAGTTGGGACGTTTTTTTAAATTTGAATAAAATGAAAACTATAAGACTTTCAAATCACATGAGCCAATATTTTATTCACAATAGAACATAGATAACATAACAAATGTTTAAACTGAGAAATTTTACACTTTTATCCACTAAATGAGCTCATTTCAAATTTGATGCCTGCTACAGGTCTCAAAATAGTTGGGACGGGGGCACGTTTACCATGGTGTAACATCTCCTCTTCTTTTCAAAACAGTTTGAAGACGTCTGGGCATCGAGTTTATGAGTGTCTGGAGTTTTGGTGTTGGAATTTGGTCCCATTCTTGCCTTATATAGGTTTCCAGCTGCTGAAGTGTTCGTGGTCGTCTTTGACGCATTTTTCGTTTAATGATGCGCCAAATGTTCTCTACAGGTGAAAGATCTGGACTGCAGGCAGGCCAATTCAACACCCGGACTCTTCTACGATGTAGCCATGCAGTTGTAATAGCTGCAGTATGTGGTTTTGCATTGTCCTGCTGAAATACACAAGGCCTTCCCTGAAATAGACGTCGTCTGGAGGGGAGCATATGTTGCTCTAAAACCTTTATATAGCTTTCAGCATTCATAGTGCCTTCCAAAACATGCAAGCTGCCCATACCGTATGCACTTATGCACCCCCATACCATCAGAGATGCTGGCTTTTGAACTGAACGCTGATAACACGATGGAAGGTCTCCCTCTTCTTTTGCCCGGAGGACACGGCGTCCGTGATTTCCAACAAGAATGTCAAATTTGGACTCATCGGACCATAGAATACTTTTCCACTTTGAAATAGTCCATTTTAAATGAGCCTTGGTGCACAGGACACGACGGCGCTTCTGGACCATGTTCACATATCGCTTCCTTTTTGCATGATAGAGCTTTAGTTGGCATCTGCAGATGGCACGGCGGATTGTGTTTACCGACAGTGGTTTCTGGAAGTGTTCCTGGGCCCATTTAGTAATGTCATTCACACAATCATGCCGATGAGTGATGCAGTGTCGTCTGAGGGCCCGAAGACCACGGGCATCCAATAAAGGTCTTTGTCCTTGTCCCTTACGCACAGAGATTTCTCCAGTTTCTCTGAATCTTTTGATGATGTTGTGCACTGTAGATGATGAGATTTGCAAAGCCTTTGCAATTTGACGTTGAGGAACATTGTTTTTAAAGTGTTCCACAATCTTTTTACGCACTCTTTCACAGATTGGAGAGCCTCTGCCCATCTTTACTTCTGAGAGACTCTTCCTCTCTAAGACATCCCTTTTATAGCTAATCATGTTACAGACCTGATATAAATTAACTTAATTAGTTGCTAGATGTTCTCCCACCTGAATCCTTTCTAAATTTCTTGCTTTTTCAACCATTTGTTGCCCCCGTCCCAACTATTTTGAGACCTGTAGCAGGCATCAAATTTGAAATGAGCTCATTTAGTAGATAAAAGTGTAAAATTTCTTCGTTTAAACATTTGTTATGTTATCTATGTTCTATTGTGAATAAAATATGGGCTCATGTCATTTGAAAGTCTTATAGTTTTCATTTTATTCAAATTTAAAAAACGTCCCAACTATTCCGGAATTCGGGTTGTAGACTGATACAGAGTAAGTGTGACATTTTATATTGTGAAAGTAATTGTTGCAAGTTTTTAGTTCGTAATAAGCATTTTATAGTCTTGTGTAAACTAATAAAATAAAAAATAAATCATACATTAAATTCATAAGTGCAAATGAACAATAGTAAAAGCATTTTGTTTTTTATTATTATTCACAGCAAAAACTCCAGTGTTAAATGAACTCTCCTGGGAGTTTATACGGCTCCAGACTCAAAAGTGTTAAAGTGTTAAAATATGAGTGTTAAAGTTAAAGAGCTAATTAAGTGATTCATTGAGTGATGATTGACCATTATTGAAGACACCTGATGCTAACAAGAAGAATTACCAAAGGAGAAAATCTAATTTTTTAAGCCACCATTTTGGTGATCAGTGTTTGCTTTAGTTGGGCTCTTGACCCTTAAACTGTTAACATTAGTTTTTGTTTGGCTGCTGTATCTGAGTTATAACTGCCAAATGAACAAAGAGTAAAGGTGATCTGATGGTGTTGGTTATGTTTTATCATAATCATCATTTGACCTGCATCACAAAACTCATTTAGAGCCTTATCTCTGATTTTAAATGTATATTGTTGATTACTACATCACAGTGATTCTACAGAACAAATTTCTGAAAGAAATTTCTAAATAATCCAAAGGATTTCTTAAAAAATGTTCTGATAAAAAAAAAATATCTTTCTTTTAGGTACACACAGACATCAAGAATCAGTGTATGAATCTCAACAATGGTGACAAACAGAATATTCAATTAGGAAAAGGAAATTACTAAGACATTTCAGATCATAATTTATTCATACCGCAATGCATGATGGGAGCCATGAATGAGTTTTGATTGGTGACACGCAGAATGCACTGCAACATGCTTTATTATTGTCACCATTGTTAAGATTCACAGGCCGATTCTTGATGTCAGTGTGTCTAAATAAAATAATTTATTGGAGTGTTTTGATCAGAAAAACTTTCAAGAAATATTTTGGATTATTTTGAAAATGCTAAAAATCGTTTGCTATTGAATCACTGTGATGCAGATCAAGTGATGATTATGTTAAAACATAACATAATTTTTTTACAGTGTAGGCAGGACAAATGTAGTTTGTGGATGATGGATGATGCGACGGCAGCCATATTGCGCCAGAACGCCCACCACACACCAGCTTACTGGTGGAGAGGAGACATAGTGATGAAGCCAATTGGTGTATATATATATGGGGATGATTAGGATGAGATTAGATTAAATGATCTGTGTTTTCCATAGGATTTTGTAAAACTATGTTGGGTGGACCTCTGACAAAATTTTGCACATTTTAAGGTTAAATGCTCAATCTGGTGCACTCTGAGAGCTCAAAATTCAGAGCTTCAACCGGCTTTAACCCATGTGCACATTGAACAAAGAAAAAGCATTGACTTGTACCTGGACATTAAAGAGGGCTCAAACATCTTTTTAGTTATGATATATATAGTCTCAGTCTACATTACATTATCACTGGTGTTTTAGGATGCCAAACTATTATTATAATAATGATTTATATAATTATTCCTATGACGTAAAATCCATATAGACCTAGCCTATAAATGTAGCCTAAAATTATTTTGCATTAAATTACACAGTATAGGAAAATTACAATACTTTTGTCCTAATTTCTTCAATTGCCAGCAATAAACCCTTGAGCTTTCATTTTGGAGAAAACACCAGATCACCATGCTGATCGCGTGAGCAAAGTGTGCACTTTTCTTTAAATAATGCAGCACAAACAGAATGCCTATATAGGCTACTTAATTAAAGTCTTTTGCTGTTTTATAAAGGCACAAAGCCATATCACAGTTTCAATTGGAGTTCGTTGGCAAAATATAACGCTAGACAGTCGAGACCTTTATGTTAGGCAATAGGCAACCGTAGGCAACTGCTTCTCCATCTTCCCACCGATTTAAAATTTCAGAGTGTCAAGTCACGCGAGTCGACATGACAGCTCGCTCAGGAAGCTACAGACACTGTTTTTGACGCGATCTAACATTATATTTTGATCGAAAGAGTTGCAAAAATCTGCATATAATTAGGAAAGTGAGGACTGCGTTTATAACGTGATCTAACCTATTTTGACGGTGCCCAGGGCCCCTTAGATGTCATGTGCCCCTGGACAAGTGACCAGTTGCCCTAATGGTTAATCCGGCCCTGTCAGCTAGACAGATATTGTGATGTGTATCATTATAGGATTGTCTAGCTATTTGATTATTGCAGAACTGCTGTATGGTGATATTATTGGTATCGTGAGCCATGTATCGTGTATCGTAATGAATCGTGAGGTATAGTGATTCCCACCCCTCACAATGCATTGCAGCCAATTTGCCTACTTGCATTTTTAAGTTACTGGCCATTCAGAACTTATTCTAGCCTAAACAAAATATCTGAATAAACCAGATTATAAAAGCCACAGTTTCGATGTAAAATGTTTTGGCCGCTAAAAAAAAAATAGGGCTAAACTGAACCCTATTTGTCACAAAATCCTCTGTGACTGCTCTTTTAAAACCGCATTTGATGGCAAACTTGACATCTTTTCTTCTCGCCACCATAATCCTTTTCTCCATGTTTCCTTTTTTGGAAAGTCATATAGTAATACTATTATGGATTTTTATTTTTATTTTTTTGCTTTGGGGCAAATGGGAATGCAAAAATTATATTAGTTGTAGTTTCCGTTTACCACTATAGTTTACCCAACTTTGACGACTTCCGCTTTTGAGAACGCCGGAAATGTGAAAAGGGCCCATGAAGGGCAGGTTTTGAATCTTTTAAACCAAATATAATATCTTTTGGTGGTAATTTCTGTTACTCTATCTCTCTTTTCTTAGAAAAACAAACAAAAATTAAGACAAAGAAAGGCAGTCATGCATTCCTTAAGAGAAAATGGCAGGCTGTAAAACACGCCATCCTCTGTGGCAGCAGAGTTTTACCTGATCCACAGCTAGATCCATCCGGTCTTGAGTCGAGGTCTCTACAGGATCCATGTGATCCACAGCCAGATCCATCCGGTCTTGAGTCGACGTCTCTACAGGATCCATGTGATCCACAGCCAGATCCATCCGGTCTTGAGTCGACGTCTCTACAGGATCGATCTGATCCACAGCCAGATCCATCCGGTCTTGGGTCGACGGCTCTACAGGATCCACGTGATCCACAGCCAGATCCATCTGACCTCAAATCTGAGTTGATGTCTCTTTCAGATCCATCTAGTCTCAGGCCGATTCCTGATGCAACAGATCTCGATGAGCCGGTTCTGTTTTCCTCCCTTTATGAAATGGGACAGAGACTAGGAATGGGAGGTTTCGGCACTGTGTTTAAGGGGACTCGCAAATCTGATGGCCAGCAGGTAGAACCATGTTTACTCTATTCACCAAATGTGAACTTTTCGCTTATTATTTCTGTAAACTTGACTTATAGATTAGCATCCACTCTTTTGACAAAAACAAGTAGGCCTAGTCAATAAATAGATAGATTGAATATTGTCATAAAAATGTCAGTATATATTTAACCCGTTTTTTTTTTTACCCTTTGCAGGTTGCCATCAAGATCATTCCTAAGTATAAGGAGGATGATTATATTGTTATTGTAAGTTGGCAAAATTAATTACTATAACTAAATACATCAAACAGAAACCAAACATAGTCGGATAACCTTTTGTTGAACATCTTTCTCTAGCCTGGCTATTCCAAGCCACTGGTTATGGAAGTGGTTCTAAATCTGCGAGTGAAAAACTCTCCGAGTCCAAGCCAGGACATTGTCCAGATGCTGGACTGGTTTGAAGAGGAACATCATCACATCCTCATCTTGGAGCATCCACAACCCTGCGAGACCTTGCTCAGTTTCCTCAAGCTCAACGGGCCTCGCTTGGATGAAAATCAAGCACGTCCCTTAATGCTCCAGGTAGTCCATGCAGCGAGACACTGCATGGGCCGAGGTGTTGCTCACAATGACATCAGGGTGGATAATATCCTGGTCAATACAGAGACGCTGCAGCTCAAACTGATAGACTTTGGCTGTGGAGGACTTATTGAAGGTTGGGATGATGAAGACAACCAATACAGAGGTTAGTTAGCTTTTTGTGTGACCATTAAAACCAGCCCAAATATGATGGCAGAGTGAGTGATCATATGTGGAGTCGAGATTATGTGTGAATCTTTCACGAAACTCTGGGCTCACTACTGAATTGGAGGCTATTATAGATTTTCTGTAATGTTATCATAAAGACTAATGCTTTATGGAGCTAATAATATGACAAAATGATTTGAATTTGAATTGTGTAAATTTGAATTATTTGCAAGTGTAATCTAACAAAACTGAATTTTAAATAGTTCTGAATTTGAATTTTTTTGGAAACGAATATTGAACATCTGAAATTTAACAAACTGAAAGGTTTTTTATGGCTGAATTTTATAGACATGTATTTTCAAACAGCTAGTTTTTGTGTTCTGAATTCAAATACTGCAAAATTTCAGTTAAAAAAAAAACGGATTCAAGTTTTCAAGATGAAGAAATTCGAAACGTCAAATTCAGTTTTCTAAAATTCAATGTCAAAACTTCAATGTCAAAAATTCAGGTCTTACAGAAAGTAGGTCACAGGGAAGAGTAGATGATCTCGGAAAAGTCGAACAGAGCATTTTGGCCAATTAGGGACTGCAGAAGTTTTCCAGTGCGAACGTGGTGGTTCAAGAGGTTGCCGCTCTCTGACTCTGATCATGAATCGCCCGGAGGTAAGTTAAACATGAATGATTTTGTGTTTGTTAGGTTAGCGTTCTCAGCACGTGATACATTTGTCTAAGCGGTCTCTGGTGTTTGTTTTAAAGTATATTTTGTGTAATATTTTGTGTAAAATTGATTAGACCGTGTCTACTACACAGACAGGACGCGAGCGGCGCAACACAGTGCTTGAAGCGACTGTTGTAAAGAGCTGGGACTAGGTCAGAAATAGGATGGGTAATCGTGTGCTGTTGGGGATTTCACTGGTCGCGTTGCACCGCTCGCGTCCGGTCTAGATTGCGTCGTACATGTAAGCATAAGGTACGAGAGGGTGTGCTATGGTGCTGTATCGTGAATACGACGCGAACCAGAGTGCTTGCAAGTGCAACCCCTTCAGACGTGACTTATTCACAAGACAGCACTAGCCTTGAGTACCGTGTATTGCTTTTCTAAAGCGATTGCCACTCAATAATCATAATAAAGCAAAACAAAAATGTATTAGTGCAACTTTCATTAAGTAAAATCACCAAAAGCCTTCAACCTTCCGCTGGAAAAAAAATAGTCCCTGGCCGTGAGCAGCAGCATAAGTTAAAATATTTCGCCTGTAATGTTAGATGGCGGCAAAGACAGTCTTTATTACTGAGTCAGTCATCAGTCAGGAGAGAAGACTTTAATATTGAAAGGACAATTGCATTATGTTGGCATTATGTATAAAACCGGGTCATCTCAGTTTGGTTGAAGGCTTTTGGTGATTTTACTTAATGAAAGTTGCACTAATACATTTTTATTTTGCTCGCGCCGCTCGCGTCCTGTCTGTGTAGTAGACACGGTGGCGTTCTAATCAATTTTACACAAAATATTACACAAAATATACTTTAAAACAAACACCAGAGACCGCTTAGACAAATGTATCACGTGCTGAGAACGCTAACCTAACAAACACAAAATCATTCATGTTTAACTTACCTCCGGGCGATTCATGATCAGAGTCAGAGAGCGGCAACCTCTTGAACCACCACGTTCGCACTGGAAAACTTCTGCAGTCCCTTATTGGCCAAAATGCTCTGTTCGACTTTTCCGAGATCATCTACTCTTCCATAAAAACCATAAGCCATAAAAACCTTTCAGTTTGTTAAATTTCAGATGTTCAATATTCGTTCCAAAAAAATTCAAATTCAGAACTATTTAAAATTCAGTTTTGTTAGATTACACTTGCAAATAATTCAAATTTACACAATTCAAATTCAAATCATTTTGTCATATTATTAGCTCCATAATGCTTTACTGATGTATTATCCAAGTGAAATGTTTGCTCAACTCTGAATCTCTGTTGCTTGCTTGGACAGGATATGTCGTGCCAGAGCTTTACGTGGAGCACAAAATCGCGCTCAGAGAGACAGTGTTGTCTCTGGGTAACGTACTGTACAGAATGGTGCAAGGCCGCTCCGCTTTCGAAAATAATCCAAAGTTTGATTCCAACTTTTTTTCAAAAGGTATGGCAATAACAATAACAAAGAGACAATAGCCCCTTTCACACATACAGTCTTTACTGGCAATTACAGGTGACTGATCATGTGTGAACAGGACCTTTTTAAATATACCGGTAAATTGGTTCCAGCAATTTACCAGTAAGCGAAGTTGTAAGATTACCAGTAAATTACCGGTATATGCGCTGTGTGAAAGCTGAATGAAGACTACCGGTATTTTGCACGTACAGAGACATAAGAAGTGATTATGTCAGAGACATAAGAAGTGATTATGTCAGAGACATAAGAAGTGATTTGGGCCAATCAGAAGCCATTGAAAGAGCAACGGCTCTGAGCCATTCATAAAACTATGATGCAGAGTCTTTACTCGGCAAAATGTCTGTTTACAAATTACTTAAAGGGGTCATATAATGGTACATGCACTTTTACAAGTTGATTGTACTGAAATGTGTGTTGGCAGTGCCTGTACACAACCATCATATAATGATAAAAATCCATCCAGTGTTTTTGTTTTAATCTCCTTATATGTTTTCCCCTGCCTCAAATTGAGCCGTTCGTTTTTGTGACGTCAATAAAACGGACGCCCCTCCCGCGATTGTTGATTGACAGCAGTGATTCAACACAGACCCGCCCTCGCTCATGAGCGAGCTGTCAATCATAGTCCGCGCGGATCGGCGCGGTCATTGTTGATATGCTGGAGCACTGTCTATGAGCAGAATGGCGTCTAAGCGATTGTGGTGTTCTGTTCTTGGGTGCAATAACGAACACAGCAGTCATTTTAATGTTCCTAAATCCGAACCGCTGAAGACGCAGTGGCTGAGTTTGTTTTCGAAGGGAATATTCCCCACGAGCAACGTCAATGCTCTCATGTTTGCCGAATCATTTCTCAGTGGACTGCTTTATAAACGAGGATCAGTGTAAAGCTGGTTTTGCTGAGAAGCTGCACCTGAATAAAGGATCGGAACCTATTCGTGTTCCTGCTGAACCTTCAGAAGAACTAAAGTGAGTGTAACGTTTTATTAATCTTTATATTAATATTTATATTAATCTTTGCAAATCGCCAGCTGCACGCTTCACGATGAATGCGTCGGTTTACACTCAGGGTACATTACAGCATGTTTTCTATGTACAACGTTCTCAATATAATTCATAATCCCACGTTTATAATGAACAGCGCGTTATGGATATTGTGTTATTGTGTTACAAACGGTGTATGCGCAGAACAGAGAGGCGGGGTGAGCAAAGCTCATGATCATTTAAAGTCATATGCACTGAAACTGCATGCTGAAAACAGAGCTGTTTTTGACCAAGTAAAATAAGTGTTTTCTTACAATACTAATGAGAATTTTTAATTAAAGTATATTACAAACTTTTAATTTAGACCCTAAAGAATCATATTAGCTTGTACAAAAATGGCATTATATGACCCCTTTAAAATCGGATTGATACTAAAGTGAACTAAAGCGCTTCTCCTTGTCCGGGCGGATGAATAGATTTGTCAACAACTTTAAAGGTCACTTTTGGTTAATGACATCCTCACAGAGTTTTATTTTGGAGCTGATGTGTGAATGGTCTGTTACCGGTAAAAAGCCAGAACGCTGTTGCTTGTGTGAACAGCACATTTTAAAATTCACCGGTAAATTCGTTCTGGCAATTTTACGGTAATTTACCGGGATTGCTAGCCTGGTTAAAACCAGAGCATTCTCAGTTGTAACTGAGTTATGGTCTGGCAAAGCGTCATAGACAAATCATTTCCAGAGGGGCGTCACCAACGGACGTCGCGGATAGACCTAAACCCAATCAGAGCGATGAAGGAGATGACGTATGCAGAGCGGCGGAGAAACATCTCCGAGTGTGGTTCTTTGTTCGGTTTTTAACTAAAAGGAAACGTTCAAATCGCTTAAAACAGACGCGATAGCTGATTCGAACGAGTGATGTTTGACGGCGGGATCCATCTTTGTAATGTAGGCTACAAAATCTGCTTCAAAATCCCAGCGCTGTCGTCATCGTGTTAAGCCCGCCCCAACGTTTCTGATTGTTGCCGCGATTTCGGCGAATTGGAAATGGGCTTGAATGAGCTCTTTGCCAGACTAACTTTCAGAGCAAATCTAAATTTGCCGGAAGTTGTCTGGGTTTTCCTAGGCTACGGGATTGCAGTGTGAAAGGGGCTAATGACACTGTTGAACACACACACACACACATACACACTGTGTCATATCATGTTTATCAAATGTAAATTCCTAAATATAAACATGAAAAATGAAAGACAAACTGTAAAAAATGATCGTGATTTTAACGGTAAAAGACTGTAAAAATGCTACAGTGAAAAACTGTTAATTGTTTAACAGAACCTTTCCTTACTATATATGGTAAATAACTGTGATAGATCTAATGGTACATTTCATGTAATTTTACTGTAAAATACCGTTAAATTTACAGTTTTTGAAAGTGAAAATGAACAACTCATTGTATAATTTACAGTGAAAAAACGTAAATTGACATTCCCACAATTCCACTTCACATTTGATGTATTTTTGTTGAAATAACTGTTTCTTCATAGTTTGCTTTTTCTAATCAGTTATGTACATTAGGGTTTTATGTGACATTTAATGTTGTTAAATGAATGTTTATTGCCTTTTTAAAATTTCATATGTGTTACCATGATGGAGTTTAATGTTTGTGTGAATCACACTGTGCAGCTTCTATATATTAATATTAACTTTCTTGTGAAAGAGCAGCTTATGATGAGCTTTAATTGATTGTGTGACTCTCATCACTGCTGTGATTGTTGGCTGTCAGTGTATTAGAATGGTACAAAACAGATATTAATACTTCAATAGGTCTGTAAATTAACATTATATCAGATAATGAAATACGGTTTATTTCTGTAAATTTTAAGTTAAGTCTGTAAAACCTTGCTACCGTAAAGTCTTGCTACTGTATTTTATACGGTACATTTCTGGCAACCACAGCTGCCGGTATTTTACCTTAAATTGAACAGATTTTTTTTTACAGTAGCTCAACATCACTGCTTCTAGTTCTGAATGGCTAGTAACATAAATATTTACTAGTCAAACTGTAAAGGAAAAAGTGATTAGTCATTAGTCATGTCATGATGACATTAGTGTGTCACATGGTCATTAAGAGCATACTTACACGACTAACCAGTGCTTTCCTCGAAACTTGAACAGAGTGTCAGGATCTGATACGCCTGTGCATGACAGATGATCCAGACGAAACACCGACGCTAGAGCAGCTGGTAGAACATGAGTGGTTTAAGCAGGAAGGGAGTCAGGTAGAGTAACACACTGTTGAGGAGGTCACTACATGTGAAATAATTCTTGCAAAAGACCAAGACCCTAACCCTATTTAATTTACTAAGCCGACGAGGAAGAGCCATTCATCAGAAACAGAAAACTACAGTAACAAATTTACTGCAAAAAGGGGCACAAATAACATAATGTAAAGGCAGCACAAATAAAATAATGCCCCGTTTTCCAGATGAGTGTTTAAGTAAATACTATTAGAAAGTTAAGTCAATTTGAGTAAAAATAATATTTTAATATAATATTGTTAATAATAATAATTATTAAAAAAGCATAATATCAAATAAATAACATTTACAAAATGTTTAAATGTCTCCTGTTTTTATTCATGTTTATATTTTGTAGCTATGTTTTTTTTAAGGGAAAGATAATTTCACTTGTCTGACCGGAAAAGTTGCCTGAATAATACGTCAATAACAAAATAAATAGCTAGGAGAGCACCGAAATTTCAGTCACCAAATATTTTCATGCACGAACGATTCTGATTTTATTACATGCAGCGTCAATTTCAATTGATAATGGATAATATATTGATGGTAACAAGGTTGTGCCAGTTGAGGCTCATGAGTCTGTGTGTGAGAGACTCTCGTGGAGAAATCACAACAAATGAGCCCAACAGAACACACAAAGAAACTCTCAAACTCGCAGAAAATTACTGCGGTAAAACTCGTTTATATTTATAACATGATATAGTGCCGTTTTCCCCCAAACCCATGTATTTTACTATGTTAGTGCAAACCATGGTTTTAAAGTTATTATTCTATGATACTTTATTACAGCATATAAACTGCATGTGTAAGAAATGATTCAGAACAAGGAACTACAAAAAACATTGGTGATAAAGCACAGGATTTCAATTGCTAATCAACAAATAAAAAAGAGCAACTTGTTCCAATGTAAAAATGTTTTACCCCTACAGACATTTATAAGCATTTTGAAGAAACAGCAATTAAACAATATTCACGACTGCACATTGTCCTCGGTATGACTCAAGTAATCTATCAAGACCTTTATTATTATTTTATGGTTAGTAAATTATGATAAATTATGCATTTAATTGTGTATTAAATTACAGATTTTACATTCTGGCATTTGTCTTATTTGCTGCAGCCTTATCATATCCACATTGCTGCACATGGGGGTTCAAAAGAGAACTCAGAGCCTTTCTTATGAAATATAAGTCGGACATTGAAGTGAATTGCTGTTTTTGTCACTCTCCTGCATGAGGAAGATGTCATTCACTTGTTTTGGCAATGTGACAACAGAGAAAGTATGGTCAGATTTGTTCATGTTTATCCAATCTTATTTTCCAAGTGACTTTTCTTTCTGTTTTAAAGATGTTTTTTCTTTGGTTTGTTTGACTAATCAAAGGAGAAAACAGGACAATATTACATAGATAATTTGTTTTTCCTACTAGCTAAATTTCACACATACATAAGCAAAAATGTAGTGGCTCTAAACCTGTCTTTTCTCTATTCAAAGATGATCTAAATACATGGAAACTATCCAAAACTCTGTTAATCCCAAAGCAATGAAAACTGTATCTCTATTCATCCTAAATGTATTGGAATTTTTTTTTTTTTTGTCACTCTGGCAACTCATTTGTGTCTGTGTATCTATCTGTCTTTTTTGTTGTTTTGTTTTTACCATGTTTATCTGTTAGGCCTATCTTTACAATGTAAAAAAAAAAAAAAAAAGTTCTTGATTCTCTGAAAAAAAAGTCCTTCAGTGAGGACTCAAACTCTGGTTATGGAATCAAACTCTGCCTAGACTTGTTGAACTGCTGTGAGTAAGTGTGAGATTAGGCATGATGTCACTGAAGCCATTTGGAAGATTCTCTCATAGAACGCCAGCTTTACACTGTGACGTCATCAACTCCGAGCGAAGGCCTATAGTCTCGCGCTCGCAATAACACTGTTCGGTTCAGTGAGAATCCGAGCGTAAGCGAAGAGCAGTCCAAAAGAGAGTTCAAAAGCTCTTCATCATGACAACAACGCGCGTTTCTCCTGCGCTGGAGTCAGTGGAGCTCAGCATGAGCGGTCTAGTGTCAGCAGGTGGCGCTCTGACAGCTGGAGGAGGAGAGATCAGCGACCCATCAGGAGCAAACCAAGAGGCTTCTCCTTCAGCCGCCGCTATGGAGAACAGCCCGACAGGTCAGTGACAATAACAACATCATATTAATAATATGAGACATTATTCATTAGTGCTGCGTTACAAACTCTATCTGGTGTGTCGCCTGCTGGAGATTTGTAACGGGCTGGTCAGAGGGGGACAATATAAAACTCACCGTGGCACACTAAAAACAGGAAAAAAAGTGCTAACCTGGACTTGTAATTAAAGATCTCTTATTTATAACCCACAAAAATTACTTGTACTTAATCAAACCCACACAATTAAATGAATTTCGTTGATGTCATTTTTTAGGTTGATATGTAGATTTAATTACATTTTTGACTTGCATGAAACCAAACCTGTTCATTTAGATGTTTTTTTTTATAGATGTGCACATTGTTTAGGATTATGAATGATATATTAGTCCGTGATATAAATAGTCCGTTTGACATTTTTCTTTTAATTAGTATTTTTATGTTTTTAATTTTTTTACTCTGTAATTTTTTGCAGTGACATTTTTGAAAATAAGTCATTTCAATAACTGACTTATAACCTTTGCATTGGCATTAAAGTGAAATTACTGAACCTAAACATATAGGAGCATGATGAAAATGCTCATTTAAAATAAAAATGACTGACGAACTTAGAGGTTTTTGCATCTGAAGTTTTCATAGTCTTCAAATAAATAAGATGACGTCACAGCTTTTATATATATATATATATATATATATATATAGGCTACACACACACACACACACACACACACACACACACACACACACACACACACACACACACACACACACACACACACACACACACACACACACACACACACACGACTTTTATACTGGACAAACTGTATATTCTATCCCCTTACACTGCCCCTATCCCTAAACCTACCCATCACAGGAGACATGCTGCATTTTTACATTTTTAATAAAACACTGCTTGGTGTGTTTTTAAAGCCATTTGAAATATGAGGACTCAGGAAATGTCCTCATTTTTCCGAGTGTCCTCATATTGAAGGTGTGTTATCATAAAAATGTCCTCAGTTGTCATGAAAACAAGAGCACACACACACACACACACGCGCGCGCGCGCGCACACACACACACACACACACACACATAGGTATAAGCTATATAAGCTGATTGTTCACATGTTTTCAGGCCATTTCAAGTGGCTGAGTTGTTTACTTTTTAATTGTCTTCCCATTAACGCCATCATTATCTTCATTCAGGCCGATTCGAAAACGCGCATTAACACAAGAGGTGGGATTTATCACACAAACCAATCATATTCAATCATAGCACGTTTTCAGATTTACTTAATAATCAACACTCAATAATACAGAGTTGTACAAACATTTAAATTACACATAAAAATACATTTTTATATCATATTTTTAAGAAAAGAATTATGTTTCTATTACAATTTGTTTAAATATAAACATTTAAGCAACGGCATTAACCCAGCAAACACAGAACTTTGGCACAACTTACCCAACCTTCTAACAACGTTTTAACAACATGGCCTAAAGGTTGCTATAACTACGTTGTGTGGTGAAGGTTGTTACAGGGTTGTCACAATGTTGACATTGAACCACCGTTCAGGGCCATTGCTTAAGTCGGTGAGTGTTTCTTTATTTTTTTCAGCTTGTTTACAGGTATTTATTATTGGTTCTTGGGTAAGTTGTTCGCAGCAGGAGAGAGTTTTTCCATCTTGTTTACTGCGTGTGCACACGTAGAGTGATGGATATATTATTTTCTAATAGATTATATGATTTTCAAGGAGTTCTGTTCGGAGACTTATTTCGAAAGATGAGTATGAAGTGATTCGTCACAATCTATATATTAAAGGGTCACTTCACCCATTTGCATTAAGGTTTGTATTGTTAGAAACCCAGTCATATATTATAATGATGGTGGAATTTTGCTTGTTTTTTTTTCTGAGATGGGAGAAAAAAGGATTTAAGTGTTTTACTTCCGTCCTACCGTGACGTAAATATCGTCATTTTGCGTCACGATAGGACGGAAGATAAATTTCATTGCATATTAAGGCCTTGTCCACACGGACACGGGTATTTTTATAACCGGAGTTTTTCCTACAGCGTTTTAAAAAAAAATCCCGTCCACACATGCTCGGTCTCCGTCTACATGAAAACGTAAAAACACGCTATCAAGCGCGGTCAAGAGCATGACACGCCAGCAGGAGGCGATATAAACCTTAAGCGTAAAGCCACGTTGGCCAATCAGAAGCGCAAATCTGACGTCAAACACAGCGGTTAACGGCGCACGCTCTGACGTCGCAAGGCAAAAACCCCGGTTTCACTGTCTACTCGACAACACTGTAACCGGCGTTTCTGAAAATCCTCACCCTGGCAGGGGTTTTCAAAAATGTTCGGTTTCAGTGCGTTTTCGTGTGGACGAACGGCCGAACCGCGTAAAAAAAGTCACGGTTATAAAAATACCCGTGTCCGTGTGGACAGGGCCTAAGAAAACTACAGCCTTTAGCTCATTATTATTCAAGGGCGTGGGACCCACTCACCCCACCGGCCTATTACAGATCAGTGGGTGGGACTAAACCTGAAGAAACTAAACTATTAATCCGCCATCTTGCTTGGAAGACAGCAAGCTAAGCTAACAAGCGCTCAAGGAGTTAGATTTACCATAATGCCTGAATTTACGACACACGATATGGAAGACGAGGATTTTGAATATCTTGTGCTCGAAACTGATGTTTGTGGCTATTTATACGAGCCGCAATATAGTGAAGAGCAGCTGAGGCTGATGGAGGAACAGGAGGCGGCTTTCTGTCGCGGACGAGGAGCCCAGACTGGCTCGAGCTGGGCGGACTGCTGGTG